ATGATGTGGGTATATTTATGGTTGTATGTTAATTGTGGGGGTACCAAGTGAATTAGGGTAGATTGACCTTCTGTAAGTGTCAATACGACCATGCAACTAGAACAGTAAATGTCCCCTGAATGTTGGAAATCTAGCGGCCAGCTTGAAATTTGTATTTCAGAGCAATTATTCTGAAAATGGTGTTGTTTCTCAGAACTTCACCTTGAATGACATTGATTGGCTTCATTTTATTTTTTTTACTTATTAGAAATTCAGAAACTTTATTAGAATTTTGCGATTGTCTGACATTTGATGAAAGGCCAGATGAACTTAAAATAGCTAAAACACCAATATTAATGAAGTCTCCTTTACCTTTAAGTATGCCTTGTAATGATTACACATATGTCATCTGTGATTGAAACAACATCCCCCTACCACCTTCTATTGCTTCATTTGGCAATAATTAATTCTCCTTCCTTATATCCCCCTGTACCATTATATAGCGTCCATTTATACATACACCAGACCTATGCTATGACCTTCTCCCCTAAGGTCTGTTCCAGTGATTGCCTGTGGATAGTTCAGTAACAACTTGTGGAGGTCCCCTGGGTGTTGATCGATGAAAGGATGTTGATAATGACTGGTGCAGTAAGGAATGTATGAGGCAGTTGTACATATGTTGCCTGTAAAAAATACAAGTTTTGACGTATCTGAGATATTACAGAACCCCAGCTGAAGAGGGTTACGAATTAGATGGATCAGAGTGCTGCGATAACGACATTATAAATCCTGTTGAAACATTTAAAAAAAAATGAAAATGTCATTCCATTTCACTTTGAGATGGGGTTTTTAAACTATTTTAAATTAGTGGAAGGATGACGATGTTAAAATAACAGCAGGGTTGATAAAATTTCTGATGTGTTTCACGCGAGCTTGCTGATAAGCTGTGCTGTATATTGTCAATTTGGGTAGAGTTGTTTTGGGGCACAGCAATTTTACCATACACAGACACAAACCACTTTCTGCATTTATATACCCTCATTCCTTGTCTTTGTTCATGGTCCCTTCCTCCCCCCACCCCCACCCCCACCCTAGACAGTATTGGGGACAGTCCTGGTTTTCCCCATGGTGTATTTTAGGACAGCTAGCTAGTTGCTGTACTAGTCGGCTGTGTTTGTGTTGGGTGACCTTTAACCCTATGTAACCATAGGCCCCCATCTCCCCATTTCCATGGGGTCATTAAAAGTTCAACATCCATCATGGGAAACACTGAAATTTCAAAGTCAGCTTTGTTTGACCTTCAGAAGGGTGACATTGATGATGGAGTACAAATGAAGAAAATGCATTGCAGTAAATGTATAAGATTTCTGTGGGTGCATTTAATGTAAAATATGATACGAGGGTGAGTGTATGAGGCAGAGACACTCACAGGACACTTGTAACGTTTTAATGTTGAAAAGCATATTTGCTGGCTGGATTGTTTTACACATGTAGCAGTAATGTGGAACAAGTGTTTCTCACAGTGTCCTATACACATCACCGCCCTTTGTGACCGGTACAAACACTTGTAACCCATAGTGGTATCTCTCTACTTCTGATACACAACATCGCTATTTCAGGCCAGACACATTGAAAAGTGTTGACTTCTCAGTAAATTTCTGATTCAGTATTATCTGTATCTTTCTTGTCAAATACAAATTGTGTTCAAAAAAGTAAATACAATTATTTCCTGTTTTGATATCACAAGATTATTTCCTGTTTTGATATCACAATATTCAAAGAATTGGTAGAATGATTGTATCAAGAATAAGACAATGTCAGACGTAGAAGACGGTCAATGTCAGACGTAGAAGACGGTCAATGTCAGACGTAGAAGACGGTCAATGTCAGACGTAGAAGACGGTCAATGTCAGACGTAGAAGACGGTCAATGTCAGACGTAGAAGACGGTCAATGTCAGACGTAGAAGACGGTCAATGTCAGACGTAGAAGACGGTCAATGTCAGACGTAGAAGACGGTCAATGTCAGACGTAGAAGACGGTCAATGTCAGACGTAGAAGACGGTCAATGTCAGACGTAGAAGACGGTCAATGTCAGACGTAGAAGACGGTCAATGTCAGACGTAGAAGACGGTCAATGTCAGACGTAGAAGACGGTCAATGTCAGACGTAGAAGACGGTCAATGTCAG